ACATCATCGGCTATCCCATACCCTGTTTAGTAATGGATGCCACATGCTAAAGATTGTCTTAATACCCTATACGATATAAGTGAAATTAATTTACTCCTAAACCTGTATGGTTGAGGATAATATCAACGGTAGGGTTCTCCCTATATACCAAGTCCGTACACTCTTTCCCATTATATTTGGTAGGTCATTTCATTCAACAATGTTAATTTATGCATACATTTTTTATTTATTTATTATTTAGCTAGCAATGACACATATGCCCATATCCTACACAACATAAGAGTACAAAATTCATATTTCAAAATACAAAAGAGAATAAACTCGTAGAAAAAAGCAAGATAAAATAGGGTAGCAGAATAAGAACTTCAAACGTCACAATATGATGAATAAACAGTGAAACGAACAAATCAATGTGAAATTAAGTATAGTAGGATGTGATAATGAAACAGAATAAATAAAAAATAATGATTCAAAATGCATAATTAATATATTGATTCTAGATAGATATAACGCAAGAAGAACGAAAAATAAATTAGGTCGACTGAGAGAATATAGTTAGAGTAAAATAAGATAAAGTAAACTAAAATAGGACGAAATAAAAATAAATAGATAGAATAAAATGATGATAGAAATAGTGAATAGATAACACAATTAAATTAGTGACGAAAGTAAACAAATTAGTTATTGACTCCATCAGCAACCTGTATTTAATCGTTACGAAATCATAAGACCGTTTAGTACTACCATTTGTTATCGATTTAACTTTAATTTACCGTAACAGTGAAGGGTTGAGAGATTCTTATACTAGGCAAAGTCCAAGACACCACCGTTTTTACTACGGTTCGTAACAGTTTTCAGTTCTTGGATTTATTGGGTTTCCTGGTGAAATATGAAAACGCACATCAAACGGCGTGAAAATATGTAAAGAATGGTGAAAAAAGCAGAAAAAACTCACCGGGGGTCGGGTTGGGGTTCTGATGCGGCGGCAGCGCCAAACTTTATTGTTTGGTTCTCCTTTTTTGGCACTTCTCCCTCTCGACCAAACCGATTTTGGTTGGTTCCTAGTGAAAATTTATTTAAATAGTGGAAATGGGGTGTTTTATGGATAAAGGAGGGGAAAAATTTGGCCTTACCAACGATTTTCATTCTCCGGTGCAGTGGCTCAACCAAGCTTCATCGTCCATCTCTCGTGATTTGCGACTTCTCTCAGTTATCCTACATCAAAAATGGTTTAGGCAGCTAAGGATAGAGAAACGGAAAGAACAAGAAAAAAATTTGGGTTTACCAACACGTTTTGGGTTTCTGGCACGGTGGTGCCAGCGTCTCTCCAATGGCTGAGCTCTCCTCCAGCTGCCCTTCTTCTTCTTCTTTGGTAACCCTATGTTGGCTAGAGTTTTGGGGCTGACTGAAGAGAGGTTTAAATACCTCTCTTCGACCAATCTGGATCGTCCATCCTGAGAGGTGTGGAGGTACGTGGACCGTCCGATCGTGCTTATTTAAAAAATTCATCTGAGCTGTTCGATCTGGGAGACTTTGAGGCATGCGGGCCGTCTGATCGAGCCTGTTTAGGAAGTCAATCTTGGCCATTCACATGCACGGGAGTGGCCTCAAGTTTTTCAATCGGCCTGACACTCGGATTGCCAGCGTGGAGTCCGTGTTGGCGTGGCTGCCATGTGGCGTGCGACAATTCATCGTGCTGCTGACTAGGCGTCCACATGACCTGTTTCTTCTCTTTTTGCGATTAACCCCTGCCTGAATTTTTTTTTTTTAAATAGGTCCCCTTTGTTGTGCTTAGATTTCTGAATTTATTTTTAAAAGGTCCAAAATTAACCCTTTAATTATTTATTTTTCATTTGACGATAAATTAATTTTTAGTCACTCATTCTGCAATAAAATAAAAATAAAAAGGAGTTAAATAAGTGAAAATTCATGAAATTAAACGAATCGAGAGTATTTTTGTTCATTAAAAATTAAATGGTTAAGTCTCAAATTTGGGGTGTTACATCGGGATTTTAAAATGGTACTCTCATTACATGTAGCGCCCGGAAAGGGGCCGAAAAAAAAAAAAAAAGCCACGTTGGCAGCCACATCAGCAGGCCCGGTCAGCAGTCCCGGCCAACCGGGGCCTGCCACGTGGCAAGATCGTGTCACTCCAAAAGGAGCCACGTTGGCGATCCGCGTGGGTGCGATCGGACGGCCCAGATCAATCGCGCGATCGGACGGCCCAGATTCAAACGCACGGACGGCCCAGATTCAATCAAAAACGAACGGCCCAGATTAAAATGAAATGAACGGCTGTGATCAAAAGGCAAGGGGTTATAAATAGAACCCCCACACCAGACCACAAACCCTAGCCGCCAGCCGCTCGCCGGAGAAGACGAACCAGAGGCCGACCGCCGCCACCCGCCGCCACTCGCCGCCGCACCGGGGAAATTTCCGACCGCCGATCGAGGTAAATTTCATACCCCCGACTCGTTTTTCCCCATTGATTCCTCCTATGGCCAAATCGAAGCCGAAATCCCGGCCAAACGGCCGGAATACGCGGCCGAAGCCCAGCGGCGCCGCCGCGCCCCCTCTCGGTTTTTGCCTCCGACGAGGCCCTTCCCGGCCTCCGTTCGATGCAATT